CCCAGAACGTTCGGGAGGAAAGAGTAGGGGCAAGGAGGAGGAAAACGAGGAGGAGGAGGAGGAGGAGGAGGAGGAGGAGGAGGAAGAGGAGCAGAGATTTGGAAGGGAAGGACGCCGAGGAGTGTCTCGGCTGACTGGTTGCAGGCTGTTCACAACAAGATCGACTTGACCTGGACAACTCTCGCTTTCCCAAGCATCTCCTCCTCGCCGTTGCCACTCGCACATACCTCATGCTCAAGCCCAATGGTCTTCCTTCTGTCTGCCTCCTCTCCCTCCATGATCCCCTCCCGTTGACCCTTTGCCTCCTCCCTCCCTCCCTCCCTCCCTTCCTCTCCTGCCCTGCCTCCTGCCCTTCCCTTTGTCTTCTCTTTCTCTCCTCCTCACGATCATCGCAGGGCGACTGACTGACGGTCATTGTCTCATCGTCCCTCAACAGTCGGTGCCATCGACACTACAGGTGGCATACAATACATCAACACCATTCCTCCTCCTCCTCCTATCTTCCTCCTCGTTTCCTCTTCCTCCTCCTCGTATCTTCCTCCTCGTTTCCTCTTCCTCCTCCTTGTATCTTCCTCCTCGTTTCCTCTTCCTCCTCCTCGTATCTTCCTCCGCGTTTCCTCTTCCTCTTCATCGTATCTTCCTCCTCGTTTCCTCTTCCTCTTCCTCCCCCTCACCCCCGCTCTCCATCTCGTTCTCACCGTGTGACATACTTGAATTCAGTGCGACGAAGACACTCTGGACGAGGTTGCTCACTTGTTCACTTTCCTGCTCGCTTGTTCACTTCTCTTGTTCACTTCTCGTGTTCACTTCTCTTGTTTACTTCCCTGGCTCCTTCTGACACTCTTCAGATCCGAAACTTCAAGAAGTGTTTGCTGCAAACCTTCCACCAGATGGACATGGTCGATCATCCTTCACCCTTCATGCTGCTGCTGCTCATCCTCGTTCTCCTGCTCATGCTCCTGCTCATTCCGCATGCTTCTCCTTCTCCTTCTCCTCCTCCTGGACCTTCTCCTCCTCTTCCTCTTGCTTTCTGCTCATCGTGTTTTTCCAGGACTGCATCTTTTTCGAAACAGCTATCTCCCTCGACCGCATGCCGTATAAATCACTTCCCTGCTTCACCATCCTCGACCTCTGTCCCTTCTCGCCTCCCCCAGCCCCTCCTCTCTCCTCTCTCCTCCTCTACTTCCTCCTGCACTTCTTCCTCCTTCTGCTCTTTCCGTGATCGCACTCTAACCCGCCATGCGCTGTTTCACCCTGCCTCCTCTCTCCCCTCGCTCCTCTCACTCGCTAGCAGCCATGCTTCTGTCGAATGCGTTCCTCTCGTCCGAGACAAATCTTCGAACGCTCCCATGTACTTCAAGAAGGCCATCATGGTGTGTCTCCTGCTCCTGCTTCTGCTCCTGCTTCTGCTCCTGCTTCTGCTCCTGCTCCTGCTCCTGCTCCTGCTCCTGCTCCTGCTCCTGCTCTCTCTTCCTCCTTGCTCCTGCTGCGGCTCTTGATCTTCTTGCTCCCGCTTCTCCAGCTCTCCTCATCTCTCTTCCTTCTTCCTCCTCTCCCGCTCCCCATGGCACGCTTCCTTTCATGGTCTCCTCCTCTCTCTTCATCAGCAGCTCAGCAAACATGCAGGAAGTTGAGAACGAGTTCGAGTCTCAGAACAGAGCGCTGATAGACACCCGTGGTGTCAAGAAGCTTGCAACCAAGGTACCTTCCTACCCCCTTCCTACCCCCTTCCTACCCTCTTCCTACCCTCTTGCTGCTCCTCCCTCCTCTCCCTCTTCTCTCCCCCCTGTTCCCTCCTCCTTTGTCCTGTTCTCTAACCCCCTCCTCCCCCCCTTCTCTCTCCTGCCTTATCCTCCTTTCTCCTGCTCCCTTGGTTCTCTTTCCTCCATTGCTTCGCTTCCATTCATCTTATCTCATCTCAGATCCCCAAGCACATGCCTTACTTCTCCGTCGAGTTCGGCCTGCAGGTTAACTTCCTCTCCTCTCCTCTCCTCTCCTCTCCTCTCCTCTCCTCTCCTCTCTTCCTCCTCTCTTCCTCCTCTCCTCTCCTCTCCTCTCCTCTCCTCTTCCAATGCCTCCTGTACTCCTCTTCCCTCTCCAATCCTCTGCTCTCCTCGTCTCCTCTGCTGTGCTCGCCCTGCTCCGCTCCGCTCACGCACAGCAGGGAGGGTTCGCGCATGTGGTGGAGAACGAGCGGAAGTTTCCCAAGACCTTCGGGGCTGACATTCTCTGTGGCATCCTCGGGCTACCAGCCACCATCACCCAGAGGTGAAGGAGGGGGAGGAGGAGGAGGAGGGAGAATAGCACGGTAGAGGGGAGAGGAGGGGAGTGAGTGGGGGGGGCAGAGGAGAGGATCAGAGGGGTTAGAGGAGGAGGAGAGAGAGCAGGGGAGGGAAGACGACTAGTGATTGAGAGGAGGCAAGTGGTAGGAGAGGAGAGGGAGAGGAGAGGGAGAGTGTTGGAGGAAGGG